GAGGGATGTCCTGGGACGAGGACAGGTGAGGACACGTGAGGGATGTCGTGGGATGAGGACAGGTGAGGGATGTTCTAGAACGAGGACATGTGAGACAGGTGAGGGATGTCCTGGGACGAGGACAGGTGACAACAGGTGAGGGATGTCTTGGGACGAGGACAGGTGACAACAGGTGAGGGATGTCTTGGGACGAGGACAGGTGAGACAGGTGAGGGATGTCATGGGACGAGGACAGGTGAGGACAGGCCATCCCCATCTGGGATTCAGAGCCGAGCCTGGTGTGCAGCCCTCTCCGGCCTTCCGCTGATGCTCCCGACCCAGTGGTGACGTGTGTTTGTGGACGTGGTCAGAGCGGGTTGTTCCCTGAGCGCGCCGTGAGGACTCCTGGCCTTCCGGGAAGTCCTGACCACAGCCCCGTCCCAGCTCAGGTGCGTCCCGTCACCCGCACGGACCCATCTGAGCGGGCCGGGCCGCTGCTAGTGGGCGGACAGACCCCGTGGGCCCCCTTGGCGCCTCCCCGTGACCCAGAAGCGTGCTCATCCCTGACACGGCTGTCAGGCACGTGCAGGGCGGGACCTCGGCCGGAGACACGGGGTCCTGTGTCACTGGGGGTCCGGGCGCTCCGCTGACAGCCTTTCCCTTGCAGGTCATACAGAGGATCTTCTACACCGTCAACAGGTCCTGGTCGGGGAGGATCACGTGTGCGGAGCTCCGGAGAAGCACGTTCCTGCAGGTAGGCGGCCGGCCAGCAGGGACGCAGGGCCTACGTACACCCATTATTCATACCCACCTGCCTTTCCGTCTGCCATCTTGCGTTCTGACCCTCCTCTGTCCTCCTGCATCCTCCTCCATCCAACCTAGACCGTCCTCCATTCATCCTCCGCCCTCCTCCTTCATCTTCCACCGTCCTCCATCCCTCCTCCACCCTCTCTACCCATCCTCCACCCTCCTCCCTCCATCCTCCACCCATCTTCTACCCTTCTCCACCCATCCTCCACCCTCATCTCTCCATCCTCCGACCCTCCTCCCTCCATCCTCCACCCTCCTCCCTCCATCCTCCACCCT